TTGACAATTAGCGGACCAATGCCATTTGTGATCTTTCTTTAGCAAATCAGTGAGGGGAGCAGCCTTCTTTGAATATCTCTCGATAAACTTGCTGTAATAATTTTCCAAACCCAAGAAGGATCGCAACTCCGCAACATTGGCGGGTGAAGACCAGTCCATAATAGCCTGCACCTTCTTTCCATCCATTTTGACATGGCCTTGGCAAATAATATGCCCAAGAAACTTAATTTCTTTTTGAGCAAACTTGCACTTCTCCTTCTTTACATAGAGTTTATTTTCCTGCAGTCAGGAGAATACCTTTGTGAGATGGGTCAAATGGTCTTGTAACGTTTCACTATAAATTACAATATCATCCAAGTAAACAACTACAAACCGATCAACATAATCATTGAAAACATCATTCATGAAATTACAAAATGTCGCAGGAGCATTAGTAAGGCCAAAAGGCATAACTAAAAATTCAAAAGAACCATATCTAGTTACACAAGTGGTCTTTGCCTCATCTCTTTCCGTAACCCGAACTTGCCAATACCCCGAGCGAAGGTCTAGCTTTGTGAAGAAAGTGGCCTTGCTAAGACGGTCGAATAAATCAGCCACCAAAGGGACAGGGTACTTATTTCTGATAGTCACCTTATTTAGGGCCCAATAATCTACGCATATCTGCAATGATCCATCTTGCTTCTTTTGGAACAATACTGGGGCACCGTATGGGGCTTTGGAGGGTTGGACTAAACCAACTTCCAATAACTCCGACAATTGCTTCCATAGTTTAGCAATTTCCAATGGTGACATTCGGTGGGTTGTCTTGGCAGGAGCCTTCGCACCAGGCACCAATTCGATTTTGTGATCAGTGGCACACTGAGGAGAGAGAGATTTAGGCAACTCTGGAGGCATTGCATCAATAAACTCCGCCAAGACATTAGCCACTACATCCGGTACTTACATAGTAAGGCCAGGCTTCATTTTAATCAATGCTGCAAGGAATGTTTCCTCGCCCTTCCTTAGCCCGTTAAGCACTTGCACGGCCGACAGCATCTCATCCTTCTTCTTTGCCCCATTTTTCTTGTATGGTCGAGTAGAGCCCGACACAAAACAAGGTTAATTCTCATCTGAGATCAATAACCCACCCAAATATGACATCAATGCCACTTTTGCAGCCACAAAGAAATCGTTCCCAAGAATAACATCAAAGTTATTTAATGGAACTGCCATCAAGTTTAGTTGTCCAGTCCATTCACCCACTGTTACCTTCACATCCCAAGCCACGGTCTTGATTCTGCTTGGATTTTGGACAATCTTCAACTTTAAGGATTGCACTACCCTTTCAGACACAAAGTTATGAGTGGCACTAGTGTCCACCATTGCAAACACTTCAATACCATCCATCACCACCTTTATACACATCAAACCGGATAAGGGGGCCCTCTTAGCACGAATTACATTCAACAATTATAAAGGGTTGACTTGAGTAGGGCCATCTGAGTAGATCCTGCCTTATCATCTTCAACGACCATAGCGTTAAGCTTCTTATGCTTGGGACAATCCTTCGCTCTGTGGGGTGCATCACAGATGAAACACCCTTTGTTAGATTTCCCACAATTGTTTTGAGAAGATTCCCCTTTCTGCTTGTACTAGGAACCATCTTTACCCTTCTTGAAACTAGACTTCTTCTCTCATGTCTTTTCTTTCCCTTTCTTCTTGGATTTGCTGGTTTCACATGTGGGTTCCTTTGCTTAACTTGTAGTTAAGTAACCCATTTGCCGCAGCCATGGCAGAGGGAAAATCTTTGACACCGAGCCTCTGAAGTTCCAACTGGACCCAATTTTGCAACCCAGACATAGAGTTGAAAAGTTTATCTTCCTCAGACATGTTCTTGATGTCAAGCATCAATGAACTGAATTCTTTCACATAGTCCCTCACTGATCCGGAATGCTTCAACTGTTTCAAGGCATCTCTGGCAACCCAAGATGTGTTGCAAGAAATGAATTGTTCTTTCATTTTGCTTCTTAAGAGTCTCCCATGTTAAGATCTCTGGTCGAGCATTATCCCCGACACGTGTACACCACCAAAGTTTAGCATCACCCGTAAGATACATACTTGTGATGGTAACTTTCTCCCTTTCTTGCACAAAGCAGCCTTAAAACACTACTCCATGTCCCACAGAAAATTCTCATGTTCCTTGGCACTCCGATTTCCACCAAAAGCTTTAGGGTCAGGAACTTTGATTTTCGAAGGAGTCTCACCATAATTTGTATGCCCACAAACAACCTTCTGTACAAGGGTGAGTTCGTCAATAACTTCCTGCAATTTGTCCTTCCAAGCATCCGAAATGGCAAGCATATCCGTCATCACATCCTTGAACCGATCTACTATCGAGGTCTCAAGAGCAAGAAACCCAAAAGCCGCATCAGATCGGTTCAAGAATGTGATGACTGATATGTTTGCCATTATGGACGCTTGGAAGCACAAATTGCAAGAAGTTACTAACCCTTGTAAAGAAGGATGTCTGTGGGCAAACGAATTATGGTGAGACTCCTTCGAAAATCAAAGCTCCTGACCCTAAATCTTTCGGTGGAAATCAGAGTGCCAAGGAACTTGAGAATTTTCTGTGAGATATGGAGCAGTATTTAAGGCTGCTCATGTGCAAGAAGGGGAAAAAGTTACCATTACAAGCATGTACCTTACTGGTGATGCTAAACTTTGGTGGCATACACGTGTCGAGGATGATGCTCGACCAGAGATCTTAACATGGGAGACTCTTAAGAAGCAAAATGAAAGAACAATTCATTCTTTGCAACACATCTTGGTTTGCTAGAGATGCCTTGAAACGGTTGAAGCATTCAGGATCAGTGAGGGACTATGTGAAAGAATTCAGTTCATTGATGCTTGACATCAAGAACATGTCTGAGGAAGATAAACTTTTCAACTCTATGTCTGGGTTGCAAAATCGGGTCCAGTTGGAACTTCGGAGGCTCAGTGTCAAAGATTTTCCCTCTGCCATGGCTGCAGCAAATGGGTTGCTTAACTACAAGTTAAGCAAAAGAACTCACGTGTGAAACCAGCAAATCCAAGAAGAAAGGGAAAGAGAGAAGACAGGAGAGAAGAAGTCTAGTTTCAAGAAAGATAAAGATGGTTCCAAGTACAAGCAGAAAAGGGAATCTTCTCAAAACAATGGTGGGAAATCTAACAAAGGGTGTTTCATCTGTGATGGATCCCATAGAGCGAAGGATTGTCCCAAGCATAAGAAGCTTAGCGCCATGGTCGCTGAAGATGATAAGGTAGGATCTACTCAGATGGCCCTACTCGAGTCAACCCTTTTTAATTGTTGAATGTAATTCGTGCTGAGAGGACCCTCTTATCCGGTTTGATGTACATAAAGGTGGTGATGGATGGTATTGAAGTGTTTGCAATGGTAGACATTGGTGCCACCCATAACTTTGTGTCTGAAAGGGTAGTGCAAACCCTAAAGTTGAAGATTGTCCAAAATGCAAGCAGAATCAAGACCGTGAATAAATAAATAAATAAAATAAAAAATAAATAAACTCTATCCTAAATGACAGCTACAATTATGAGACAAAAATGAATGATTTAAGCCTTAGTTGGGTTAAAAAAACACAAAAGACAAAATAGGCTAAATAAGTCAATAAGACAAAATATCACATCCAAACTATAATCATTTCACTTTTTCACAAAAGTCAAAAAAAGCCAAAAAAGTCAAACTAACGAACTTTTTAATCACAAACTAAAAAAGTCCCACCTCAAAAAAATCAACCAAGGGTTCATTTGGGATGTGGGTTAATTTTTTGATGTTTTAGTTATTTTAGCCTGCACTAAAAAGCCTCGTTTGGAATAGGATTTTGACTTTTTTGACTTTTGTGAGAAAAAAAGTGAAATAATTATGATTTTAATGTGACATTTTGTCTTATTAGGCTAAAAAGCCTATTTTGTCTTTTTGTTGTTATTAGCCAAAACATCTCATTTTAACTTATGCCAAACAAAAGGCTAAAAAAGCCAATGTTAAACGGCGACTAAGTCAGTTATCTAGCAGTTACAATTATGAGACAAAAATAATTGAATAATGCTAGAAATCCAAAAATTCTATTAAAAATTCTATCAAATATCTCACATAGATGTGGGACCCACACAATGTAGGTCTCACATCCATGTGAAATATTTGATAAAATTTTTAATAAAATTTTTGAAATCTCATTTTTGAAAATAATGTAAGTCGGTTATCGAAAAGTCGAAAATAGATATTCATAATTTTAACTTTCAATAGTCAGACTATCAACTTTTATGCAGCATTTGGTAACATTTTATAATTCACTATATTTTGTTTATTAAAACTAAATAAATAGATAAATGATCACACACTTGTATATTTATTTTTGCTAAAAAATATATATGTATATATATATGAACATTTATTTATAAATCACCCTTCACCTATTTATGTTTCATTTAATTCAAATTATTTTTTATGTTCTAATAATTACATGATTACCAAATACCCCTAAAAATAATAGGATTAAGCACACATTAATATTCGTATTAACCGTTTAAATATTTTATGATGTGAACATTCACATTGTTAATGTGAATATTCACACTGTCAAATTATTTAATGTGAATATTCACATCATCAAGTTGTTAAAGGTTCAAAAAAATATTTATAAGAATAAAATTATCTATAAAATGCTTTAAATATGATAAATAAGATTTGATAGATAAAATGTTCAAAATGATAAAACTTACTGAAATACAGAAATATTTTATGAACTAATTAAGATACAAGTACTTAAAAAAAAAATTCTAATAAATTCTATGTACACAAACTGAAAATATCACCATTTCGAGAACCTAGTAATCAAATTAAAAATTTTGGCTTGCAATAGGTAACCATTGCAGCAACCATCTCCACCCACACACGTAAATTGTTTCACTTCCAATCCTCTCCTCTCCTGCCACTACATACTTTTAGCAAATTGAACACACCCAGGTCCAGCTCTAATTTAATTATAAAAGGACTGCAAAGGTGAGCAGGGCCGAAAACCAAATACCGGTTTGTTCAGAGAGAAATGTACAAACTTGTTTCTGGAGAGAAATGCTCATTTTGTTTTAGGTGACAATCTTTTACCATAAACAAGAGGATTAGTAAACCAACAATTAGGAAATAAATAACAGTACACAGATCTAGAGTCCTTATTTCTACTTGAGAAACTTCGATGTAGCATTTACAATACTACAAATATCCTAATCTTGTTTCATTTACATTTCTATCACTACACACAGCAAACTTGCTTGAGCTCAGATTCGGTGGAACTTGTGCTTGCATTTCAGCAAGTTCTCTCACTCGTAACAGAATTGGAGCAGGAATTGGAACCGAAGCATGTTTACGTGAACCCTGCATCTGCATTTTCCCATAATCGTAAGAAACTATAAAGAAAGATACAACCAAATGAACACAATTAAATCACCATCATTGATTAACAGAAACAGGATGAGAAACAACACAGTTTAGTTTGAAATGTTTTACTACATTGATTGCTACTTTTCCGTTTCAAATCAAACTTATAAGTCAAATTTTCTGATAGTTTCACAAAGTGCTGCAGAGCAACATCACCCAATTGTAAATTCTATCATGATGCCCAAGGTAAAGAACACCTAATAGCTTAACTGTTACCTAAATGATGCCAAAGTTTTTCAAGAAAAGCATGCATTTCAAGTGGATAGTTGTCCTCTAGACAACCAAGGCTAATGCATACCTGGAATTTTATTTTTAGCATCTCAGCAACATAAAAATTAAAGAAAAAAGCACACAATGTTAGAAGTTTGGGAATGATTTTTGTTAGAAAAGCATATGATATACCGCCAAGGGAGGAGCCATAACTAATTTACTTTTCCTAAAGGATGGGAACGCATGCACAAAACTCAAATTCACTACCAATATGCCAGATGTGTGCTTCAAATTAAAATAAAAAAATAAAACTTGAAACAAGACCCACACAATCTCAAACATAATG